AGCAAACGTACACGTTCGATTTCTTCAACTACGCGGGCATACATAGAACTGTCTTCTTGTACTCGACTCCTCAAATATACATCGATGACGTAATAGTTAACACTGATATACAAGGGCTGACAGGTAAAGTTTACATTTATTACACTAATACTCCCTTAGTACTATCTGACTCTGAGTGCAATACCTAATCCATTGTCAAACTAATATCGTGAATGCTAAAGTTTAGATGGATGGATGGATGAATGTTTGTTAAAGTTTGTAGCCTAAACGGATGAAATTTGGCATAGATGTAGAACATAGTCTGGTAGAACACATACACACATACTTAATTTCGTTTTCTTATACCACGCGGACGGAATCGCGGGCAAAAGCTAGTTTATAACAAAAAAAAGTGTCGCTATGATGTAACTCGTTGAATGATATTTCAATGGAAAACATGAAAACAACAGTTTTCCTAGTAATTACGTCGACAATGAAAGTAAATTTGATAATCAGAAGAGATAATGTGATGACAAATATGTTTAAAGCGGTTCCCAAAGTGGTACAAATGGACCACCTGGGATTTTCGGTAGACTTGCATGGATTGTACGATAGTAGGGAATAAAATTAAATGTTCACAAAATTAATAAGAAATAGGAGCAATTCAGTGTTACGGATAAAATAATAAAAGAGATCTACGTAAAAAAATAAGTTTGAGAATCTCTGGTATAAAGGATAGTACACACGTACCGTGGTGTTAGAATGGGAACATTCATAGTGTACTTATTTACATGACAACAATGTGCTCGAGATGATATCAGCGGCCACAATGACGAGCTCTAACGGTACGACCCATTTATACCGCGCTGCCTTTGATACCATTGTAAATAACACCATTGTACTTGACTAAGGACCAGTTCTTGAGCTATAGTTAATTTAATTGCGCCCTTAAGTGCTGGCGCACAACTTTGATTAAACTATCGCATAACTGTTCCGCGATTGTCGATTGTTTCGCAGCCAATTCAACTGTTTAGTTGCACAACTAGAATGGGAGTAGTACGCATACTATCTACACCTCAAGCTCATAGGAATCAACGCGAGATTAAACAGTTGTGCGATAGTTTAGTTTTAAGTGTGCGCACGCTGTAAAGATTCTTGTGTGATATTGAGCGACCTATGCTACATGAAAGAAATTTTTTCATCGATGGCATTAAAAGAAAGTAAACGTTAATGAATAAAATTGTTTCATTTGCAGGTTTCATTGTGTACAATGTTACACAGAAAGGTTTAAGCGACGGCGGTTCTGTCGAATGTTTGATTCAAATACTGGACAAGAACGACACGCAGGTGGCGGCGGCCAATGACTGCGCGGGCCTCATTGAGATCGGCAATGCTAACTTCTGGTGGCCATACCTGATGCATCCCAATCCTGGATACTTGTACACATTTAGAGTAAGTATTACATTGATAAATGCAACTATAATTTTATTAAACGCTTAAATTAAATTCGTATGTCAGGATTATTTTACTTAATAAATAAATAGACACTGTGGCAATGAACAATACAGGTTTTCCCTTCGTATTACCATTTTCGATAACCCATTCCGCAATCAATACTGAAAGTAATAACAATTATTATAATTATTTAGGTCAGTCTTATTGGAATTCAAGGAGAAACAATTGATACGTACAATCAAAAAATCGGTATAAGAACTGTCACTTGGAGTAACACGACTATCTTTATCAACGACAAACCGATTTATTTGAAAGGATTCGGGATGCACGAGGATTCAGATGTAAGTAATACTTAAAATAATTCCGTTGCTATATTCCTTTGTATCTTATTATTGTATTTAAATGTTTATTTTAATTATTAAACATATTTAAAATTTCTGATAAATTGACAGTTACGAGGCAAAGGTTGGGATCAAGTGCTGTGGGTGAAGAACTTCAACCTGATCAGATGGCTGGGAGCGAACGCGTTCCGCACCTCGCACTACCCCTATGCCGAGGAGATCTACCAGCTGGCCGATGCTCAGGGCATCATGATTATTGACGAATGCCCCGGAGCTGACACAGAGTAAGAAAGACTTTAGACTTCGCACTCACAGTTGTTAACGTGGACAGTTGTAACATTACACTGAGTGAGAACTCAATGTGGACTACAGAGATTTATACCTTAATGGGTCTATTTCCCTAAATTTCGATCCAATCGGTTAATAGCATAATGTGGCGTGTTGTATATTTTTTATCTCAGTACCTTTTTAATATTGTATTCATGTTGGCAGTGTATTTTCCGACGCCCTGTTGACTAAACACAAGCAGTCGCTGACGGAGCTGATCCGCCGCGACAAGAACCACCCCAGTGTGGTGATGTGGTCCGTCTCCAACGAGCCCAGGTCCGCCAACAGACTTGCTGATGCTTACTTTGGGTATGTTTTCATATTATTTAAACGAAACATAACTGATAATGTCTCACTCGGAGTCTTTTAATTCTTGAACATTATTCTCGATTTATTAACGCATTTTTTGTAATAAATTATTTTAAATTTAAGTGTTTATATGTCTATTTTAAACCTTTATTGCAGCGAAATAGTTCGACACGTAAAATCCATGGACCTGTCACGACCTGTTACCATTGCAATCTCTCAGCACTACGCAGCCGACAGAGCCGTAAGACAAAAATACTTTTTACTTCAAGCCAACAAAACCGATTTCATGTAATTGAATTAACAAGAGATTCAGTAAACCACCGGTTGCTACAACATCTCATTTACAATTGGGTTTGAAGTCCCCTAGGCGCAATAATGAAAAATATGTGCCCGAAGGTGTTATTATGATCGAATTATTTCATTAATTTAAATGTCCTTATTCAGGGGCAACATCTCGACGTGATATGCTTCAACCGGTACAACGGGTGGTACACATCAACGGGCTCGCTGTCCGTGATCACCAACAACGTGGTAGAGGAGGCCACCGCCTGGCACCTCAAGCACAACAAACCTGTCATCATGACGGAGTACGGAGCCGACACCATCGCTGGACTGCATCTCGTAAGACATAATTTAACTTTAACAAAATGAAGACATATGCTTAAGTATCTTTTATTAATTTGAACCATCTTTTAGATTCCTGAGTACGTATGGGCGGAAGAATATCAAGTAGCCTTAATGTCGGAGCACTTTAAAGCATTCGACAAGTTGCGACAAGCCGGATTCTTTACGGGCGAATTCATTTGGAACTTCGCCGACTTTAAGACTGCTCAGAGTAAGTATTTTACTCAGTCGAATGGAATCGTTGATTTTATGGCTGCCAGCGTAGTGTGCTTAAAATATTGTCTATGGACAACAGCTCTTAACCTTTGCGGTCTTCTTAAAATGAATCTTTTAAGCTGAGTGTAGATTTTCACTCCTCAAAGATAAAAATTGTTTTCTTTTTCAGCCATAACTCGAGTAGGTGGAAATAAGAAAGGTATTTTCACACGATCGAGACAACCTAAGGCTTCGGCACATCATTTAAGAGCGCGGTACCTCTCCCTAGCGGCCGCAGACGCCGGCACAGCGGCGCCCGATGTCTCCTACTACGTATCAGACAACAAACCGACGCACCATGAATTATAAACTGTAATATAGGCTATTTTTAAGATATCGGTATTACCTATTTTTGTTATATCGATAAAGAATGTTTGTGTATGTAAGTACCTTCTTGTATGTATTCAATGATTGAGTCGTATAAACTGCCATTAATAGGGTATATTTTGTAATAGTTAAGTATTTTCCTAGAATATTGTTGTGGTAATGCGTTATTTTACTAAATGACACAATGTCAATAATTGAAATAATCTGTTATACTGCCGAATATCGTATCGTTATTCTACTGAAATTAAATTGAATCTAACATTTCAATTGACTAATAATGTCAAGCTAATTGAACACCAATATTGTACTTGCAGTTATTATTGTTACATCATAAACCTTTCTCTAGATTTTCAACGTAACTTTCAAATCAATCTGCCTTCGCCAATTATACGTATCATATGTCGTCTATCGCTGTCTGTTCTGTATTATTCGTCTTACATACCTATTTTATTGTAACAGTGGATGAAAGTTTATTATTCAAATTACGAACACTTATTATAGCAGAATTACCGATGTCCGTCCACAAATTCGTCCCTTTGGTAAATAATAATTAGGTTTTTTTTTCAACTTTATTGCTTCAGGCGAATTTTTTTTAATAGTTGAACTTCCCTATTCGAATGGCTTACATTGGCGATTGATACTGCAGATTAAAAAAAACATTTATTATTTTCGGAATTACATCTTGTGGATTATACGTATATATAAAATATACATGTCCCGATTAAATGTAGTGATATAAATTGATATCTACGTACTAAATAGAGATATTTGTGAAAACTTTGACCTATGTTACAGCATAAGTACAATAAAGTTAATTTATTAGATTTTGGTGTGTACAAGTATCTGTTATAAAATCCAAGAATGTTGCTACAACCTAACAGGAATATGAATGTCGTGACTGTAAATATTTATGAGAATAATTAAAGTACAAAAGAATAGAACGTGTTTTATTTTTTAGAAGCAAACATGAATTCGTGAAAATTAAAAAATAACGATCGTTTCTAATAAAACCTTATCACCACTACAAAGGTATCAAACCATGTTTTATAAATATACTAGCTTTCGCCCGCGACTACGTTCGCGTGGAATTTAAAAAAAAAGCCTATGCGTTATTCCAAAATATCATCTACATCCATGAAATCCGTTCAGCCGTTTAGGCTACAAACTCTAACAAACATCCATCCATCTATAACGAAAAATGCTATAAGGTTGATAAGATTCAGAGCTGCCTTCTAAACAGGAATATGAATACTACAATTAAAAAGTTTACTGTAATCTATGACTAAGACCATCTTGGCTGACATCTGTCATACCCCTAAAATTGATGGCTGTCAACTGTCAAAACCAAATTGTCAGCCCATTGTTTTGAAAACATTCAATATCGTTGTAATAATTCGTTATTGATTTTTAAATAGTTAGAAGATTTATATTTACGCTTTAGTAAAATTACAAGCACGATATTATAAAAAAATGATTTGCATAGAATGTAGACAAAATGCTAAGTACAAATGTCCAACATGCCGACAGCCGTAGTAAGTTGTTTTTTTTTATTATTCTAACGTATAAGTATATGCATTTATATGAATACCAAATTATGACAAACATTTTAGTTGCTCGCTTAGCTGCTATAAAACACACAAAGAAAATCCGTGTTCTGCTCCTACCCCAGTAGAACCAAAAAATATTATAAACAATCCCGTAGAATACGAATACCCCACTGAGGACACAGTGCCAAGAGAAAAATTACAATTATTAGGTATGTTAAATATTGTCCGACTCAAATTATTGTTTATTTAGATTTTCTTATTAAAAAATGTTTTGCTATGTTTTATTTTACAGAACAATCTGCCGAGGTAAAGAAGTGTTTAGAAAATCCTTATGTTCGTGAAATGTTAGAATTATTAGACAAATCTTCACATCCAGACGCTCTGATAAAAGAATACATGATTGAACCAATATTTACTGAATTTGCTGATGCATGCCTCAAAGTTGTACAGCCTAAGAATGATTGTGAATAAAATATACTAGAAACTAGTTAAACCAACTTCTTAATTTAAACACTTCAACCTTTTAAAAGTATTTAAAGAAGAATCTAACATGGGAAAAAAAGAAGACACAGGAATAAACAGACAGGTTGATTAGATCGGAATGGAATTGAGATAAAAACACTTAGTATGAAAAAAAACAATATACTTAAAGAAAATCAGTTTATTCATTCACATCAACATCAATGTGTTCATTTCAAAATTATAAGGTAAAAAATGCATTCATTAGATTTTATTATCTATACACGCTATATTTTTACAATAAATTAATTGCAAAAAAAACAATGTTAAGTATTGAATAATGCCATTTGTAACATATTGTCTAGTGCATTTGATTTCTTTTTCTCATCATCTAGTTGTTTTTCCAAAATATCTACTTCATCCTTATAATTTTTTAGTGAGGTAATACTTGCATTTGCCGCTTCTAAGCTAGTTTCAAACTTTGTGTAGTCTTTATCATCAAGCATGTAATATTCAATTTCATTGTCATCTAATTTACGACGTTTAGCTTTGATAAAATGATCTATGTCTTCATCGTAATCAACAGCTTTGTGCTTCATCATACCAGAGAAAATATCATACAACCAGTGAACATTACGATATTCTTCTAATGAAGCTTTTTCATAAATAGCACATAAATTATCAAAACTATGCAAACTGTTTATCTTTTCATAGACCACAATATTTAAGAAATCAATTAAACTGTAGTTTTGGAAGAATTTCTTGAATTCTGCAGATGGTTTTTGAGTATTGTAAAAATCATTAGGAAGAATAGCTATAACTTTGTAAGCGACCTTTTGAGGGTTTTCCAAACATTCAACCTGACTGCAGTAACTTTTTATTTGTTCTTCCATGTTTATGGCATTCACAGGTTTAAATTCAGTGGCCGACTGCACTAATTTTAGTTTTTTCATAAATGCTTTTATTGCTAACACATTTTCGTTCTGTTTCACACTGCTTGATATAAATTCATATGGTTTTGGATATGGAGAGCTGTGGTCCAAGTATTGATCAAACTCCAATGGAAATGAAGGATAATTAAATATTTCTGTATTTGTTATAACATCGGTCAGTTTATCTACTGCCACATTATAACAGTTGACTAGTTTATTTAAATCTTGTTTAACTATTGCCATTCTGCTGTCCGTTTCACATCTTAATCTTTGCCATATTTCATTGCCAAGATATCTTTGGCATATTGATTTTAAGTGATCAATTTCAATTGGGGGACTCTTTGGACAATTTTTAGCTAGCCACTTTAATGCACTTTTAGTGCACATGTCCAGAGATTCAAATAATTTGATCTTTTGAACTATAATTATTTTGTAACTGGATATTAAATTTTTATTTAACAATATGTCTAGTTTTTCTTTTATTTTGTTTATGGCTGCTTCGTCCCATGAAGGAATAATAACAGCAACAGGCACTAATTGATATGAATATGTACATTTCATTGTTTCTTCAATTGCATTTAATAAGTCAACCTCCTTTTCTTCAGCATAAAATAAAAATCCATTGGTACCCTCGATAGCTTCACGATGTTTCGACAATATTTTTTTGTTTGCCAGACCAACAGATATGGCGAAATCCATTAAATTATTCCATGTTTGTTTTTTAACATTAATCACACCATCACTTTTGTCTTTCTTATTTTTATCACCTAAAACTTCAAGGAGCCAACTTTCTACATTCACTCTCCTGTAGAGCCACTTATCAGATCCTGGAACCACTAAAGTCACTTTCCAAAAGAAACATTTATCATATGGATAGTTTATTTCTCTCATTCTTTTTAAAAGAGTTGATCTAATTATGTCCAAAATATTATATGGTTTTAGCGAAGACATTTCATCAGGTTCACTAACTTTATATCTTTTAAAGCCATATAATTTCATATTCTTTAATGGTGAAATTTTCAAAACTCTATTCAAATTTCTAGCTTCCTCTGCAGGTGTAAAGTTTGTTAACCAAACAGGCGTATCTTCCAGAAAGCTCCTTCTTTTTATATTTTTAATGCACTGCTTTTGCCAAACATAAAACCATTTCTTCATTAATTTCTTCGCCCAAAACATTTCGGCATTTACTTCAGAGGTACAAATGTCTTTGCACAAATCGTTTAATAATTCCTCGATTACCTTTTCAGAATCTACTATTACATCTTTTAAACTTTGTACCTCTTCTTCAATTAGATTTTGTACAGTCTCTTTAGTGAGCACTTCTAAAAGTTCGTTGACTAATGCCTTTGAATTCTTTTCCACAGTTTCTTTGAATGTTTTTTCCTTCTCCGCTTTTTGTTTTAATTTTGCTCTTTCTTCTTCTTCAGCTTTTTTCTTCTTAAGCACTTCTTCGATCTTTTTCTTTTCCTCTTTCCTTTTTCTCTCATCCTCCATTTGCTTCTTAGCTGATTTAGTTTTTTCTTCATTAAATGTTTTAATTGGATCATCGTCTTCTTCAAATTCATAAACATCTTTTGATGCTGTGCCAGAGGCAAATATTTGATCTGCATCTGTATGTGCCTTTTTAAACAAGCTTCCAGGTGACAATTTACTACCTGTTTCTGTTACGTTTTGAGTATTTGATTTATTAGATTTTGAGAATATACTACTTGACAAAGAAGGTTTACCCTTAAAACCGCCGTTTAATTTATTTCCATCGCCGCTGCTAAAATCAAGATTTTTTCTGGAATCTACAATAATTGGCTTTTTGAAATCATAAGTTTTTAATGTTTCTTTGTCTATTTTGCTATCAGATACCACTTGAGGTTTGGAAAACGTGAAAACATTTTTAGTAACCTCTGGGGGTTTGGAAAATGTAAAAATGCTTTTATTCTCCGTGTTTTCTTGAGGTTTAGAAATTTTGAATGAGTTACTCGCCTCAGTGACCTGCTGAGGTTTGGAAAAACTGAATTTTTCTTTTGTATAATTTGTTTTAAAATCTTTTATTATGTCCGATGGGGCAACCATCAAAGCGGGTTGAAATGAAAACATTTTGTTTACCGTCTCATTTCTCACGGGCGCGACTATTGCCTTTGACTTTGTTGTTTTACTCTGTGATATTTCAACAACGATATTTTTCCGATTCTCTTTAACTATTTCTGTGCTATCACAAGTATCATATGTATCATTTAGATTTCTACCATCTCTATTAAGCCTTCGGATTTCAGCTTTTAATAATTTTATGTCTTTATTTGTATCATTTATGGTATTATATCCCAAATCTTCTGCTAACAAAGCAGTTTCCTTCAAAGTGCCATCTTTGTTGAAACTGGAATATAGGACATGATTCCGATAGTCATGTTTTGGTACTGGACCTCCGGCGATAACTTCACCGACGGTACATTTCCGTTTCGTTTCTATCAATTTTGCTGCTCTGGCCAAAGGATATGGATCACTGTCTTCTATGAATTGGTTTCTATCTAATATCACTGTCAATTCGGAATCGTTTTTAGAGAAACGTAAACCATAATGATCTATGAATGATCTCATACTATCTATGGACTCGAAGGCGAGTGCATTCATAATATCTTCAGCTGGGTATTTAGAGCCACCTCTTGGCGCATACGCCTTCACTATTCTAGCAAGCGCTCGTGCTCTAACATCATTAAAATATCTTAATAGAATGCATGCTTGTAGATAATTGGCTTTTTCTTTGACTAGCCGGAAAAATCTGATGTAATTATTATTGTCCAGTGCGGTGAATACTTGAATTGCTAATGTAATTGAGTCCGATTTTTGTATTTCTTTCGGTAATTGTTTTATCTGAAAAAAGGGGCATAATTGAACTACATATTTTACTCTACAGCACAATTCAGATAATAAAACACTTTAATAACTGACCTCCCACCAAAAATTGGAGTCTCCCAAATTAAGTAAGGCGATATATCCTCTAAATTCCGCTTCTCTTGGTTTGAGGTCGGGGCCAACGTCGGCGTACATGTGTTTGAGGGTCTGCAGACATTTGGTTAAGTTGTCCGTGTTGAGTTTCTGATCGAACTGTGTGTGAGCTAAGTCCGCCAGCCGCGCTGCGCAGTGCGCGTGGAAACGACCGCACATCTCTACCAGACGAATTGATTCTGAAAGTAAAACACAAAATAATATTAAGTCAATGGCTCGACTAATGCCCATAATCAAGTCTATTGAATTAAATGTGTAATAAGAATATAGTAACATGTATTTACCTGCACAACACAACGCCTGTTGTGTTATATCTTTACGTATCCCGCGAAACCTGTCCCACATGAAATGGAACCAATCCGCTAATGTCACCTGTACAATAAAACATTAAAATACACACAACAATAAAAATGACATGTAAAGGATCTTAATAACTTAGTGTCTTTAATAAGTTATAAGATATCAGGAACTAAACTTTTCAAAGATCAATAAAAATCTTAGTGCGAATTTTTAACTATGGTACTGAGGAATAGTAAATAGCCACAGTTAGGCCACGGTCACGAAACTAGCTACGAGCGGAGTGAAACACAGTGGGATAAAATTTCGTCTTACATGGAAATTTTTATCTGATGTATTGAATGTCTGTATTAGCTGAAGTTTTAGCCCACTATGCCATGCTCCATCCGCCGTTAGATTCGTGATGCCGACCTTAACCATGTCTTACCTGTCGATCAGTATCAGCGATCTCGTTGAGTAGATAGGCACAGGTGGCAGCGAGCACGTGCGCTGGTCGTAACTCATAGCACATCGGTATCTCCTGGTCGGCGGAGCTGCGGCTGTACTGCTTCACCGCGCGACACCGCTCCAGCTGCCCGTCTGACTCCGGTACAGTCTCTAATGTCATCACCTGTAAATATTAAAGTTTATTTCCTGTAATTCTCTTTCCATTATTCTAAATTAACTTTTGTTTACTGCCTGTAACTTTGATTGACTTTAAATTAGAAAATTGTTAAGTAGATTGTGTGTTCTTCTACACTAAGTTCTACATCTGAGCAAAATTTCATCATTCATCCAAACTTATGCATTAGTATGAGCTTAAAGCAAGCATGTGTTACAATGTTTTAGTACACAAATTTACAACATAACAGTATTAAAGCAAATCAAAATGTTTATTTTAAAAATATATTAAGTCTAGCTATATGAAAACTCAAAAGTTTTTATTACACACCTGATGTTCAGCTTGACGATGTAACAATTCCTTCTCAGGACACATATCAGGACAAGTACCAATTGTGGCTCCACCCACTTTAACTCTAGACCCAGCGCCACCCCAACTACGTAAGATCCTAAAAGAAAAATAAACATATTTGATTATGTTAATATACATAACAAAACACATAAAATAACATATAATACATAATATACAAATCAAAGAGGATATGCTTAAGAAGAGAGTGGATTCAGATATAACGGCTAATAGAAATGGATGGAGGAGCAGACCATACTGTGCCGACACTCTAAAGGGTCAAGGGCAAATTGTTGATATAACAAAACCCATAAATTAACTTCACATTTTCTTAGATATCCCTCATCTCTTTTCATTTTCAGCGCTTAAACAGAAATTAAGTAACTTCATAATGAAACATCACCTGTCTCTAGCATCAAGAGTTCTCCACTGTTCATCTGCAGAGAGGGAGACCCTGGAGCGCAATTGGTGCAGTTCAGCCGCTGCTTCGGAAGTGATTAGAGTTGTGGCGGCTGTGATCACTGCTGGAGTCTCTAGGGAACTCGGTGGTGTGTTTCTGTATAATCCAACGTCTTTCATAAAAATACCTTAATTACACATATACAATTCATATATTTTAATTTCAACCCATTAAAAACTGTAAAAGCAATAAAGGCTTGTTTTACTTTAATTTAAGGTAAATAATTTAAGCTATGTGGTAGATCACTGCACTTATAACTGCCATAGAAGACAGCAGAGGTGTTAAAACTTTTTTGTAGTCCCTTGAATAAAATATATACTCACATTTTGTGTTTTAATCTTGATATAGGCACAGTCTTTCTGATATTCATTTTGGATGTTCTAGGAGATGGTACTTTGGCCTTCTTTACAACAGGGTCTATTTCCATTGCTACAAATATAACATCAAATAAGTCTTTAGGTAAATGTCACTGTTAGGTAGTTTATGACTGGATATTGAAAAATGCATGTTCCAATGGTTTTATAATAATATTTTACCTTTTTGCCGTGGTAGTCTATATGTAGGAGCACCTCTCATAGCTGAGAGTTCCATCTCCAGTTCTGGATCAGGTAACCATTCAGGATCTTCATCTTTCTTGTGTCGTCTACATATAACCAAAAAATATCTTAGAAATCGGTTTAACAACAACAAAATATAATTGTTAATTGTGATTGATGAATGAAGCTGTGCTCATGTCTCAAGCTAATGGTATTTAATTTAAGCTAAGCATAACGTACATTCGTGTCTTCGTACGAGTAACATCAAACATAAATCCATCAAAGGCCCCCGCATTTAAGACTGCTTGCTCAACTCCCGAGAGTTGTTCATATTCAACAATACACATTTGTTTCTTTGGAAGAAGTTTTATCTTTTGGACACGCCCAAATTTGCTAAAATGTTTCTTGGCTGATGGCGTATCAAATAATCCATCAGGAACATTTGTACAGCTGCAATAGGAAACAACCTTAACAACCACAATCAGGGCTTGACGTTACACTACAATAAACACAATTTTTCTGTAAAATATAGAGAAAGAAGTAAAACTTACGTGATCGATGTTTTAGTGTTAATATTATCGAACACAGTACTTTTCTTTTTTATTGAATTTGATTCCATGTTTATGAGAATAGACTGTTGCGTTATTTAATACACATTTTTCAGTAAATGACGTACATAACTCGTATGTTCAAATAGTAAAGATATGCAAATTGTTTTCGTTGGGGGAAGTTCGAATTAATTTATAAAAACATGATATAACGTATCGAAAAATTCATTACATTTATTACACACTTGTCAAACGTTAAGATCTCATCTGCCATCTGCTTGTCACCAAAGAGCAAAGAGTACGCTTTTCTTGTCATTGAGCAACAGGAACATTTTCTGCCACATATTGTAATCTTTTCGTAAACTTATTAAAATAAATTTTTTAAAATATGATGAAAAACGATTATTTATATTTGTTAATAAAACGCGTTATTTCTATGTCTATAATTTATTTTGAGTCTTCGATTCATGTTGACAAAATAGACCGATAGATGTCAGCATGAAGCCGAGAAAAATTAAGAACCATATAAAGTTATCTGAGTTAGATTTCAATATTTATTTTTCCGTGTTTGATTCAGGGATATTTAGAAAAGCTTGCTTCTTTATGTTGTAGGCATGGCGAGGTTTAACTAAAAAGTCTTTCGAGGGGTGGCAAACCCCCTGGACGTGGTTCTTTGTGCCGTATCTCCTGACAAACCTAACATTCTAAGCCAACAAATTTATCGTTGTTAAATCATAGCTACGTTATTTTGCCTAACAAGTTAATAAATGTAATACTGGCTATAAATATTTACTATAACAATAATTTACAGAGTACAATTCAAAATTTGTCTTTCCAATTCACAAAGTGATAGTTTTGCTGAATGAATACTTATGTAATCCATTTAGGCGTGACTGTTTTAGCTGTCTTCGAAGGTGATGCAACAACATTCCAACGCAAGAAGCATTTTGTAGTTCCGGAACGTGCCGGATGTGCCGTTCTCTCACTGTCACTTTCGAATGTCGAATGGCGCCATTTGACATTTCGGCTATTTTTAGCTCATTCTACATTAGAGAGTACGGTCTAGAATGGGTGTCGCCAGCCCAGTCGATGATCTAGCTACGGATAATCTACAATAATCATTAATATGGTCTAGTTCGAAGTGGTTTTTTATCTATTTTACATTTCTGGAAACTCCAAACGGAAGTTTACTGCTCTTGTCCCTAGACTGGCAACCATGCCACCAAGTATGGTAAGACTTAATAATGTTGTTATATGGTATTTAAAGCGATATTATTTTATAGTATGAGCAATTACATGTATTTTTTAGAATAACATTTGGTTGCAGGCATCGAGCCACGACTCATGGGTCGTAAAAGGTGGATTTATCCTGACAGCTATGCACGTAGGGTGATGCGGACCTATAATGCGTATGGGCAAGATCGAAATTTTTCAAGACGGATCGGCTCAGTCACTCAACGGACAGGGAGATAATTGTTATCGTGTAACTACTAGATCCCATCACAAATTTTGTAATCCTTAAAGGTAAAGTATTTTTTTTTTGGGCTGAGGGAGTAAACAGATGAAGGAAAGAAGTTGAGCGAGGCGATCCGAGGACAACCCAATAACAGAATAGATATGCGATGCCGATGGAAGCTTGACACGGAGACTGCGGTGACGCGGAGAAGTATGTGGGCCTTGCATCACTTCTACTTTAGTATTTTTTTAATAAGTTCAGTTACTAACTCGGAGATATTTTTAAACCCTTTTTCTTAATTGATTAACATTACATAATCTAATGGAAAAAGCCACATATTGTGAAGTGTTACCCATGGAACATTTCTTAATATAATCCAAATAAATAATTCATGAGGCACGGCTGTTACTGTTCGGTTATTTCTGAATATAAAATAAAAAATATTTACCTACTCAAGTGATCGCACGTCATAATAAGAATTACCAAATAACAATGCCAAAGAAACAAGTATTTGTTTACTAATACCTTCCCATGATATTCAAATTTTTTCAATTCACTTTGCGTTCAGATTGAGGTTTCAGCTCCTTTTAGAATGACACAAAATACCATAATAAAGTACAAAATAACACAGTAATTTCGCATTCAACAAATATAAAAGTAACAGGACAAAAAACTGAAGCTTGTGCAGCGTTCTAAAAGCGGTTGAATACCTAAAGAGTTGCTAAACTAGGACATTGTTACAAGTAACATCAAGTAACATCATGATCAAGCGCAAGTTTCTTTACATAAAAAAGAAACAAAAAGCCTACAGAACAAATGAAAATCGACCACCTTTGCGTAAAAGTTTTATATGAATTCTATTTTTTTTGAGAATAAGATAATATAAAGTTGGCAAAATGTAGTCATTAAAAGAATCGTGCATATTTTATTAACAAAGCGGAACCGATAGAGGTTTGGCGAGCCGATTTCTCGCCGGACGACCTTGCTGCGACCCTGCGGCGCGGCGCGAGCGAGAGCCACACTTTGTTGGAGCTTGCTCGGCGGCATCCAGATATTACGATCATTTGCAATGCAAACCGCGAAACTCCTGACGATGAATCATTGCTAAAGTTCCATCTAAACATTAACTGTAACATAAGTAAAATTTTAGAAAAATTAACTTTAATGACACTGGTTTATATTAAAGATTTATGATTTTAAAATAACAATTCGAATTAAGATAAACAAAATGGCGGCGGAGGTTAAACGTAATATGTGTTTGGCGGGAAATTTTCGGAGACCTGGGTCGAGGTGACGTCAATGCAATAAATTCGGGCGTCGCATTCCGCGCGGCCGTGGAAAGAAAGTGGCGGTCGCGGGGCGACCTTGCTCGGTGAAAGGCGCCGCAAGTGGCACAGCCGGAACCCGCTCTTCCCACGGACCGATCAGCCTCTCGGCCGTGCCGTTATGCCGCGCGACTTTCGGTAACCGGTCCAATATGTTGGCGAAAAAAATGCACTCGAGTTGGACCGGTGCCCGCTTTAGATTCCGGTCGGTGGACATAAAACACGGAATGCCTCGAACTAGCAACTATTTGCGCTATCTCAGACATCAGACGACTCCCATCTCGTTTCTCACTTAGAAAAAATTGAATCGAAACATGGAAGACAAAAAAACTAAAATCTTTATGGCACGGTGTGATAGTCCTCGTAGTTTATTGCACGGAAGTTTGACTAACAGAGACAAACTCGACGTTATGAATCGACTTTAGTATGACCAACATAAGATAATTACCGATCTTATTTCAAACATGATAACCTGATTCAACTTTCGGCGTTCTTTTTTGGTAAGAATAGAACAATTGAAACGTTTAATTTTAACTAACGTTGTATAAATTAGGGTGTTTTATCGACCGGAATATATGATAAACATTGTTATCTCTTAATTATTTCAAAATACTATTCCTTATTAGCATATCGTGAAGGTTATCGCCGCTTTGTTACTGTAACATTTTATAGTCCTACAAACTTATCGCATGGCGGTCAGTTCTGTCAGGAAATATACTTTGATTAATATGCCCTAGTCTTGTCTTGATTCGTTCTAGATATGTGAAATATGAAGAAGGACTCCTTAAATAACCATTTTTGACTGTAAATATAACCTATAAGAATCTGGTACAGTAAAAGTTATAATTAAAACCAAATGTGGCGAGACGGCTTATTTCCTTTAATTTCCGATTCTAATAAAAGTTCTACATTATTTACCATAAAAGGGTAATTATGATTCTTATCTAGTGACCATATTAGTAAAATGTAGTTGAACTATCCAAGAACTAATAAGCAACATTGTTGCCGACACGAATGCGATTTTATCCAGCTATAAATGCACTTTCCTAGACCATTGTCAATAAATTGCGTACAAACCAACACAAGATTCAAAATACTAGTTCCAATAGAAATACAACAAGTTTTTGATTAGGCACTTTCTAATAAGTAATTACTCGTACGCTACTGAAATTTCATCGGTGAAAGGGAGGTGCTAATGGCATTTAGATGAACCATATGCATACGATATCTATAGATATTTCATTAGGAAAAGCTTAAATGTAAATGAATTGTCCATTCCTAGTTCATCAAAAGAAAATGTAGAGGACATTATCTTGCTCTTTACATTGTTGTTTACGGCCAAATTTGGTTCCATTTAATTTGTTAACTGTTCCGAAAATCATGCATTTTACGTATTCCGTGCAACAATATCGCGAAGCTGTCTGATGGCACAGACCGCGTCAGTGCGAGAGAGACGGCAAGCGGCGGCAGTGGCCTAGAATTCAGACAATTTCCGAGCGGCAACCGGCGGCAACAGCGGCGCTGGCGACCGCTCGCCTAGCAACAGCGACTGTCCCGCCAACTCGTACCGCCGAGACCAATGCGCCCGCGCACATCTCTATAGAAGATACACTGCAGTAAGACATGATTAAAACAACTCAATCGATTTTAACTTAGTAACTCTATATTTATTTATGTTGTACAGTTCATATCGTTAACATTTACAATATAAAACCTGATATACACAAGTAACGAGGAATAGTATTTTACATACTTAATAAATTAGTACTTGTAATTGACATAGAATGAAGTACACGTATGTGACTGACAGACTGAAGCTAGAAAAAGTGACTGCCACATGGTAGTAATATTTAGAATCGGAATTGGTTAAGGAAAACCACATGGTTTTATATACCTATATTTTATATACCTAAACATGAATTTTATATACCTAGTATTTATAATAACAAAATTTGCAAACCAAGCTTTTATTTCCAGCAACCCTTAGACTGATTAAGATTATCTTCAAACCATTCTAGGCAAGGGCGGATCCAGCTTTGGCGCCAGGGACGGGGGGGGGGGGTCACATAGTCGTGGTCAAGTCAAGCGCTTGGCAAAATATGTAAATATATTTTGTCAAGCTTTTGACCAACCAGCTCAGTGGGGGGGGGGGGTCATGACATGTCATCTTGTAATTCTTAAAATTAAGTAAGTAAGTAAATAAATTTCTCTTGAACTAAGAACCCTTTTCTTATATAATGATCATTTTTTTTTATTTTCTCATCAGACGATTGTTTCTTTGCAGAAAATTTATAATAGGTACGTCGTATTTTTGTTATTATATTTACCAATCTGTTTCTTCCAGGTAGAGACCAATTCCGGAATGGTTGATGTAAAAAATATACAATAGAGTGCAAGTCTACATCCAGGCGTGAGTCAGCGTTGCCGCCGCGCCGGCCATCGCGCGTTGAGTCATTGCCTTCGGATCCAACGATCCCCAGCCTGTAGTT